TCAACAATCTAATTGTTGATTTTTATATATTGTATCATGTGACAATTAGCATCACATGATTACGGCGCCAATCACTACTCCGGACGCACAATGCTACGCATTAACCTAGTATTAGAGTACAGAATGTGGCTTCATAATTGAAATTTCAAGTACGTATTGATAGTTTTTTAAAAAATATGATTTTCACGTTATACCTTTCTAGCTTTCTTAATATCCCTAGCTGCCGCAACAAAATTTCACCTAAGAGCGATGATCAAAAATTTTGGCCGGAATTACTCAGAGCTTAAGTGAAATTGTTTCTGCCAATTTTTCCATAATGCAGTAAAAAAATCAAAAGTTAATTATGACTGAAAATTATGTAAAGTAGGCCAAAATTTGCAGATCTGCGGCCGCTAACCAATCAATAATTATGTGTTGACCGTTTGGAGAAATCTTATTGGTGCATACTTTACTGTTTTTTGAGGTTTTATTTTAGGTTTTGAATTAGCCGAAACCGAAACTAGTTTTACCAGTTTCGGGCATAATTTATTTTTTTAAAACTAGCGCTAGTCTACAATTTTCAGTATTTGCATTCTTATATTAAAATATATATACAGTATATGAATCAAGATATCTTGTGATCCTGTGATCAGAATCAGTTGAACTTTATTCTATTAGGCTCCGATCACAGGATCACGAAATATCCTCAATTCATCATAATACAGCCGAGTGTGAGGCTAAAAATTTTTAAAAAAATAATAATAATTCAAATTACAATATTTTGAGATCCAGTGATCAGAATTGAATAAATTTGGTATCATTCGACTCAACTAGATGATACAAATCAGAAAATACTAAAATAATTTGAAACTGATCTATATAGTATATCATATAACATAATTCGAAACATTTTAACCTCGTCATAATATCCTTTTCTCCTTTATTTATTTTAGTAAGTTTTATCTAATTAAAAAAATAATTTTTAAACTATAAATACTGTATTGTATATAGTGTTAGAACTAAAACGAATTAAACCAAACTAAAAAATCTTACAGTATTTTAATTTTTAAAAATAAAAAATTAAATATTGCAATGTCATGTGGGAATTGGAGATTCCATCGATTTTAAAGAAATATAAACGTAACCGTTTGAAAATACAAAACAACAGACAATCTAAAATCTCGGTGATTTTCCCCGAACATCTTAAAATTAACCATTTTAATTTTATATATTTGCAATTAAAATAATGTCCAAAAATAAACATAAGATTTTATTTCTTAAAACAAAAAAATTTATACATACTTGGGAATTTTTAATGTCGATTCATGTAAAACAGGTACAACATACCGAAAATAGCATAGTCATGTATATAATACTTTTAATTTGTGGTGCACAAAAAACGCTAAGGTATGATTTTACTAGATTGAATGATTCTAGCGATCACGAATTGAATAAAAAGTATTATGTACGTACGTACGTATATTATATAGTATATCTTTAGAGAAAATTAAATATGTAACTGCCAAGATCTGTGATTTATGAAATGTTAAATATTGTGCAACAGATCGGGCTTTAGATAGCCATAATCGGAACTTTGTATCCATTGTACTTCCGAAACACATAATCATGGCACATAACAACCGAATTTGATCGATCTGAAACTTGCGTATTTCTAATATAGAAAAACAAAATGAATAAGATTCGCATTAATATTATCTTTTAATTATTAAATTATCATATACAATATAATGCATTATTATGTGATGTAACTTATCAAAACATGTACATACATACATATACGTACGTACGTAACTAACATTAACAGATAATGCATAAATTCTACAATTCAACCCTATTTTTGGTTAAAGCCAATATAACCGAAAAGTTATTATAATTGTCTATATTAATGATCTTATTACATGTATTAATTTTCTTAGAGTAAAATCATTTATGCATATATTGTTAATGCTAATTCGTTTTCGACTAATAAATCTAGCATAAAAGTATGTCTCAACGGATATCTCTTATATTTACTAAACAATACTTACCGTTTCAAGAAAATAAACAATTGTTTATTATTTATAGATCAATTTTTCTACAATGCGTAGCGATATAATACAAAGTTGTAAATTTTCAATTTCTCAAAAATGCATATAAGGCAAAAGAACTGTTCTCCAACCATCGCATTCTTCATATTCTTTCTCTCTAAGACTTTATATCTTTGTAACCTGACGCAGGACGCAGGTAGCGGGAACTTGACCACGTCCTACGTCATTTAACATAAACTTTGTGCAAACTGCATACGTGGTAATAAATCTCTTTAGCACGTATTAAAGACAGTAAAGGTTAAATTTTATTTTGAAATATAAAAACAATTAGCGTATAAATATATAAATTTATACAAAGAACCCATAACAAAGAATTTTTTAACCATTTCAAAGTTTAGTTTGATCTTACTAGTCAAAAAGAGAAATACCTTTGTATTCAACAACCACGTCATTTTTTGCACATAGGACCTTCATTCAGTAATTTAATAATATAAGACCTCATTTTTCCAAATCATCAAGTTCTCTTTTCTTTCCTTAAAAAAAAAATGAAATCAACATTTTTCACCGGTTCATTATTCTTAATTACCATTTTCCTGACCGCCTTCATTTCGCATATACCTATCGTATTAGGACAATGTGTGGATTTTCAAACCATTATTGATTGTAAATTCGCAACACTGTCAAATTGTCAAATTATTAAAGAATCGAAGCAAAAATATCCCAAAATATTAATAAATAACTTGAAAGGTATATTTAAAAATGGAAAAAGCTTTCTTACAACAAATAATACCTCCTCAAAAAATGAAAGTGAAAATGAACCTCCTTCAGCTTCCTCTCAAAATATGATCCAATTGAGTTTCTCTTGTGATCTAAATGATACAAATACCTGTAATAAGGCCCAAAAGGGATTTGAAAATGCGATAAATACTATTACTTCTGTGATAAAGTTGAATACTCCGATATTAGTGAATGCGACGTTTAGAAATTTGTCCGGCCCAATAGGCATGTAATCTTCAACATTATAAATATATGTTATTTGACTAACTTTTCATGAATTAATAATAATAATATATTAAAAAATAATATATATATTTTTCATTAGGTAATGCTGGCCCATCAAGACTTATTCCGTTACAAGACAGCGATGGTGTCACACGATTGTACTCTCAAGCTCTTGCGAAACAATTTCAATTTGATTCACATCCAGAATTTGCACCATTCGATATCCTTGCATCCTTCACTTCTGTAGGCAACGTATTTTGGTTCCGAGATGATCCGTCACCACCAACTAATACGCAAGTGGATTTTGAATTAGTTGTTACTCACGAATTGATGCATGGTTTAGGTTTTTTGTCAAGTTGGAATGATTTTTTCATACCTTATATATCAAATGGATTAACACCATTCCCGAGCTTTATTTTGAGTACAGAGGGACCTGATGTTCCTCCTAAAAATGGTACAATAACATTCACAGGATTTCAAGAAACAGCATTTGATAGATATTTGGTGTTAACAAACGGAACATCTTTATCGACAGTTACTTCCAATATTAATCAATTTGCTGGTGGACCCAATGCTGGTACTAAATTTGATAATAAAACAGCTTTCGTCAACGCATTTAAATCTTCTCCACAATTTTCATTTGCGGCAGATATATTTAATAAAGCATCTACAGCATCTTCGATGGCATTTATGACACATGATGCCAAAACTGTAAATGATGCATGTTTGCTTGAAACTAGTCTTGAACCATACCTTTCTGGATCAAGTATTTCACATACGGATTTTTCTACATTTTCTAATTCTACTGACTTCTTAATGATATGGAAAGCTCCACGTGGTGTAACTCTTGATCAATTAACTAAAGCTAATGCCACCAATCAAATAGGTGTTATTGGACCACAAGTTATAAAGATTTTAGAAACTTTGGGGTATGTATTTTTTTACTTATATTCACCTTTTAACGTTATATGATAATAATAAATTTTTATAATTATAATAGATATAAAACTGCCAATAATCCTAATCCTTATAAACCAAATGCTCCATCTTTAGATCAAAATAATAATAACCAATGGCAAAAAAAATAGCGATAACAAACTCGTTGAATTCTATACTTGTTAATTCTGTCTAACTATTTTCAAATTCTTTTGAACATTTCATCAGAACAATTTTATCTTATTTGGTGCACCATTAATATATAATTTCCTTAATGTTAATGTCTTATTGTTTTTAATAAGCGTTAAGTATGATAAAGTGGTGACAAAAAAAATTATGGTAAAACTTAATTTAAAGAATGGATTTAATTTTTGAAAAATAATTTACATTTTGTTCTTTTAAAAATCCAATGAAAAAATTTTAATAATTCCAAACTTTTAATAATAAAAAAATTTAATAAATCTAATAATATAATACGTATAAAAAAAAAAAATTCTACCCGTTACAGATTACACAGTTAACCATGTTTTTTAAATATGAAAATATGTATAAAAACTTTTCAAGAATCATACGCATTGAAATCCAAGAGTATACTCTACTACAAACATATGCTGGCTCCAATATCGGCTTTGACATATGTCCAATAATTTTTGAGAGAATTTTGGACATACGTATGTCTAATTGTCCAACAGTTATACGATAGTGAGTCGTATATTTACATGTCTTTATATCACTGGTCGAACAGGTTAATATTTAGCGATTGAATTTTTTTAACTGTTAATACCGAATTTTAGGTCTACCAATTTTATCTAAACTGACATTGAAATTATAATCTTTGTAGCCGAGTTTACTAGAACGATAGAATTTTAAAGGCAATGTTTTTTTAAAAAAAATAAAATATTGCTGGTTACGGTTTCATATTGGAACCGGTTTAGTGTAACTTTTTTATACAATATTATCGTGACTATTACGATATTTCATATTTATTTTAATGAAATGTGATTTTATTATATTTGTATTTAAAATAATTTGTTTGATATAAAATTCATGGACAAAGAAAATTAGGTTTTAATCATTATAATCTAATAACCTTTAATGGTCAAACTAACAATGCTCGTTAATTATTTTTAAGTTTTTTTTTAGTCTGTCATTTAATAAACATTTTGCATAAATATAGATTAAAATAAAGATGGTATAACAAAGACACAAAATTCCTTGTTAAGCAAAGCATTTATGGCTACGTACTGTAGAAATTTTATTTATTAATTCTCCATTTAATTGTAGAATGATATAATTTTGCATTATTAAACTTTGTTTCTGATAATTATTTACTGTATATCAGTAGGTAATATACAGTATCTTTTATATATTTATAATATTAACGCTAAACATTAGATCAATCTTTTCAAGCATAATATTAAAGATGACTACTATAAAGCATCTATTCATTTTCAAAAACCTGTTAAAATAACTTTTAAAGAAAGATTCTGATGGAATGTAGCCTAATTGGCTTAATAGAATAAAGATGAACAAAAGGTATTCAATTATTATCGAAAATCTGTTGATATGGGCTATGTTATGAAATGTTTAACGGATCTGGAATTAAAAGGATGAGCATAAGGCATGTGGTTAATGCTAGCAGAAATGTAATGTCACTTTAATGAAATTGGAGTTGAAAGGGATGAACATAAGGCATTCACTTATCATCAAAATTTGGCTGATACGTATGAAATGTTTGTTATGAAAACGGAATTGTAAAGCATTTATTTGTTATCAAAAATCTACTATCGTCATTGTTAAGAAAATGGAATTGGAATTGAAAAGGGATTATCAAAAATTATCTAATATGGGTGATGCTCGTGGAACCCAATGTTGGTCATTGTTATGATAAAGAGATAAAGGAAAATCAAGTAACGCAGAAAAAAAAACGCAAAAAATCAAAAATAAACCAAAAGATTGCTTATTTTGCCTATGAAACAGCCTTCTGCACACTAACAAAGAATTATTCTTGAAAATTTTGGTATTAGAAGAGCTTTTTCCAACTTGATCTAATAACAAAACCTAACCCCAATTCAGATTTTAAATTTTTTAAGTTGGTGGCGTTAGGGTCCTAATAAAAAGAATTGGAATTGAAAAGGATGAACATAAAGCATTTACTTATTATCAAAAATAAGCCAAGATTGGTGATGTTAATGGGACATGTAATGTTGTTTATTGCTATTCTAATAGAATTGGAATTGAAAAGATATTTATTTATTATCAAAAATCTGCAGAAATAAAAGTTAACGGAATATATAACGTCAGTTGTATTATGAAGGAGTCGATAAGGTATTTATTTATTATCGAAAATCTGCAGACATGGGTGAACAAATAATCAAACTATTAGGAGTAAAACAAATATTAAATTGTTAGTTATTATTAATTTATTTATCGAATGATTCATAATGTAACAATATAACTTTCATAAGCGAACATATGAAATTTAAATATTGATAACATCTAAAAAAAAAAAAATACAAGCCGAAAGCGAATACCCATTATCTTATGTTGATAGATCAGACCGATATGATGCAATACCTGTTGCAATTAAATCAAAAGAGAATCATGAAGAAATTGCTGGTTGAAAATTAAACAATTTAAAAGCAAACCTGGCAATAAAATCATGGTGCAAAACTAATTTAACTACGTCAATTTCGATCCTAAATTTTTATCTTAAAATAGATACATACTGTAGATACTGAAAGCTCTTACATAATGACTGTAAAGCATAATTTTCGTAGTAACTTGAGTTTTTTTTTTTTTTTTTTGGCTTATAATTATACAAGTTAAAGATTCGAATTTTTAATTCCGCTCTTCTATAGCATTTTTTAACAAATATAATATTTAGTATACTTTTGTTTTATTAATAAAGGACTATAAATTTGTTATCGATACAATTAGATTGTTTCTTAGGTGTCATGATTATTTCTAATTAAAATGTATATAGCCATTAATATTAAGCAATAGTGCTAACTTAAAGCGTACAGATAACTAATAGAATACTTTTGATATGTACATAACAAGTTCTATATTATTAATCGTTTAATAAAATCTATTTGTTGTAGATCATAATAAATTAGATTACAGTAAAATGGAATATAGAGCTTTAACCCTTTATTAACAACCTTAACCCAAACCCTAAAAAATGCCTAAAAAATCCACCTCAAATATCAATGTTTACTTAATATTTATTATCTATTATTATTTTATTACATTATCCCTTAACTGTATTCCAGGCAAATTTGCCTGGAATTTTAAAAAGTATTTCCAATTTTTTAAATAAAATTAAAAATTATTAATGATAAGGGGTATAATTTATATATACAATATTTTATTTAAAACATATTCTATAAGCTTTATTATGGAAATTTTTTAATTTTACTAGAAATTTTTAGAGTAATAAAAGTTTAAAGCTCTTATTTTAAAAATTTTTACTATTAAATTTTTTTTTTTAATTTTTTAAATTTTTATATGTTTTTGCCTTTAAAAAATTTTTATTTCTAATACAAATTATAATTTTTATAAGTAAATTACTAAAGATATAATAATAAAAGTTGCTATCCTTTATATAAACTACATTATTGTATTAAGAACTATAAACTTAAAATTCCTATTTAAAGAGTTTATCAAGAATTTGTAAATTATTTTTTTGATTAAATTATTTTTTTAAATTTGTCTATTTTTGGCTTATAAGCAACTTAAACTTTTTTTTTTATAATATAAAATTAAATATTACTATAATATAATCCTTATTTTCTTTTTTTTTTATTAATATTAATGTCATATATAGAAAAGCAAATAACTTTTACAAAGTATTACATGAATATATAATAGTTAATTAGATAGATTTTCTATAAACATCTCTAATTTTCTATTTTTAAAGCTAATTTAGGTTAACGAAACTACTATTAGTTAAAGAAAGGCTAGGAGAAAATCTTGTTTAATATAAGATAGTAAGATATATATATATTTAGATTGAAAAGGTTGTAATGGGGCTAGAAGAATATTGTAAAAAAATATAATAATAATAATAAAAGTTAAAGTTAGAGAAAAAATAAAAATAAAAATAAATAAAGATAAAAACAAAAATAAAAATAGTAAGAGAAGAAAAAAGAGATAAAAATTGAATTTATAGCTCTGTAGTACTACATATTTAAGCTATAATATATAAAAAGTTATCCCTTAAACTGTAGAGTTCGTGTAACAATTTTAACTTAAAAATAGCATAAATTTAGTTATGATTTAT